AAAGTATGATAGAGGAGTTGGCATTCATTATGTATCCAATTCACCTTGGCAATTATTCCCAGCATTACGTTCCTTTTTCAACACTTATAATTTCCCACCTGGATCTGCTCATCTTAAATTCTATGATGGGTTGATAAAAAGTGCAGTAGAACAAAAAGAAAATCCAATGGCAAGTAAATTCATGTACATAAGAGAATTATTAAAGGTTAGTCAGCTAGTAATATTTATATATTTGCCTAATATTTTTAAAGAAAAAAAAAATGATATTAATTTGTAAAAAGCTTTGATATTTATATTATAGGATTTTCCAAAACGCAAATTTATTCTTATTGGTGACACTGGTGAACTTGATCCAGAAATGTAAATTGATATTTTTTATTATTATTTATTTATTTATATATTTATAAATATATCAATAGTTTGTTTTCTTAAATATTAGTTATGTTACAATTGCAAAAGAACATCCTGATCGAATTATTCGAATATTTGTTCGTGACGTAACAACCTCACGTGTAAAAGGTCTTCCACCACAAAAACCAAAACATTCTTATGCTAAAACTTTTACAGGAATTTATAGCAAACTTCGTGATTATTACATGGAAGAAGATGATAAAAAACTAGAAAATAATGTTACACCACAAAATTCTGATAATAGTGATAATAGTAGTTCAAAACAAGAAGAAGGAGATTTATTAAGTCCAGGAATGACAAGTAACATTGCTGAGAGACTTCAAGGAGGACTTTCAAATCTACTCAAAACTTCAACTCCAGATACATCTAAATCTACAATGCCTAAACCTCCATCAGAGGTTAAATTGCCATCAACAAGTGCAACTTCCCCCACAAAAACTGAATCACCTTCACCTGAAATACTTAAGACACCTTTAGAAATGTTCCATGAAAGAATTGAAAAGTTGAATCAAGGATTGCCTAAAGGATTATTTTCACTTTTTACTGATTGTAAAGAATTGGATGAAGATCCCATTATTCTAAATGCATTAAATTCATAATTTGTTTCTATATGTATATTCTATTTATAAAAATTTATTTATTATTTGTTTATTTTTATTTAAAAAATTACATATAAATTTTATTGTATAAACAAGCAATTCAAATAAAGGCAATGATTAAAAATGGGGTATACTGTAACAAAACCAGACAAAGTGAACATTGGTATTACCAAAAATTTCAGGGATCAAAATTTGTAATGTGATTATTAAAATCTCCTATTTGTTTGTTATCCTTAATATCAAGTGATATAGAAATACTCCTGTATAAAAATAGTTAATATGAAACTCATTTACATTAGGTCTACTATGGAACCAAAGAATTACAGCACCATTAGAAGTATTTTGAAGAAAGAACAAGGTGAGAAAATTGCTCCTTATATTTTCAAAATAATTGATACTCAGAAACTGGAAGCTTATCTAAGGAAAGAAAAGATTACTTATGAAATTTACCAAGAAGAAAGAAAAATAATAAATGTTGGAAAAAGGAAGCATCATGATGATGCATTATTACCTAATAAAAAGCAAAAATCTCTAAAAGGAAAATAACTACCACTAAAGCTCCTAATAGGATCGGGTCAATCTGAAATTTTTCAGTTCGGGTTCAGGTTGTCCATAAAAATTTTGGTTTGAGTTCAGGTTGACACTTAACCTGCTCGAAATCAGTCTGTTAGGAGCTTTAACTACCACTTTCTTTATAGTTGAAATGAATTTCAATTTATACAGAATTTCTTTAAACTACTTTTTTATTTTCAATCAAGGTCATCTTTTAGTCTCTTTAACTTCAATTTGAGCAACTTGTTGAGAAGTTAACTG